AGACGAAAACAAAGTGGGAGTGGTCGAGCTTCGATTAAAGGTTCTGAAAGTGGGCCTGGGGGCGAAGCCCCCGAAAATTTCGACAATTTAGGCGTTTCAAAGTCTTATTTAATCGATTTTAGAGTTTACTAATGTGTAAAAAATACATATAATATTTTTTTCTCCCCGACGAATTGTGCTTTTTCTGGGGGTGGGGGAGGGAGCAGCTTTCCCCGAGGGGGCCCTGGCCATCCGACCCCCCGCTGGCGCCACCCCTGGATTTACATTATATCAATTATAATTATCGTTGTCATTATCATTATAATCTTCAGAATCATTATTATTATTATTATTATATTATTCTTTCCGAGTGTACAGTAGGTTTTGCGTTCATTAACGTGCACATACCGTAAATCATCGAATAAGCACCGCGGAACTTATCGTTTTTAGAGGCTTCAGTACGGCGCTTATTCGAGAACGACGCTTAGCCGCGCGCTTTTAATGCCCGTTCCCACGTTATAATAGGTCCATGGTTATACCTCTAAAGTATTCCTGTAGTTCGGTATGTCTAGCAAAGGCCGAAGTGAAGTATTATCGTAAATAAACGTTTATAAAGATATGCTTGTGTCTTCATTGTGTTATTTATTACTTTGAATATACCATTACATTCAGGGGAGGATGTAGGATTAAAACCAGGGGCATTGAGCGCGGGGGTGGGTTTGGAAATTTAAAAAAAAAAGCAACACTGAGACGGTCGTGACATGGCATTCTAATCTAAATACAATAATACAATAAGATTGTGTTGGTATTGTTATGGAGTGCTGGAAATTATATTTTATTGTACCGGTAATGACCTTACTCTTTGGATAAGAAGTGATCAAAATTTACCATCTGTAGTACGGTAGGTACTGCATATGAATCAATGTTTATTGAAATATAAAGCAAACCAAAAAGCAACATTGTAGGAATTATCTATCAAGTCCAGTTTACCAATTCCTGGACTATATTTCTAAATGTACTGAACTAATTTCAAAAGAAAACAATCCAACCTAAATTTGTGGTGATTTTAATTTGGATTTAATGAAATCCCACTTATTTAGTCCAACAGCAAAATTTCTTGAATATAATTACATTATCGATAATATCTTTACAAACATACTTAATACAATATTAACACCTGGCATCTTATAACTGATCATTTTTCAATTTTTAGTCTGAATAATAATAATAACGTATCAAGTGATACTCAGCCAAATTATATCTATTTTAGAAAAATTAATAGTAATACTATTTCTGCACTGGGCACTGAACTTTTTAACTCATTGGAATGACATTTATTCTGAACATGGTTGTAGCAAGGCTTAGAATAAATTCGCAATTTAACTCAATGAAATGACATTCGTAATTAAAATTCGCAATTAAATTATCGCATATATACGATAAACACATCATTGTTAAGTAAAGAAAATGGAGAGCAGCTTGGCTAATTCGGTGGTACTAGCCACTGTGTGTGCGCTGAACTGTGTGTGGAGATCTGTAGGTCTCCGGTTCAATTCCTATCGCTGCACCTCCTTGTGTTTCAGCTGGAGGGCTGAAATACAAGTTACAATAGCGCACCGTCTTTTGGATGAGACGTTCAAACCGTTGGTCCTGTATGCATTTATGGCCCATGTGCACGTTAAAGGACGCAGTACACTCTTCGGAAAAGAGTAAGGGATATGATATTTTTTTTTAATGTGCATTATCTACACACCATGTATGCTACACACATTATCTACACACCATGTATGCTACACACACCAGTACAACTAATTGGAATAAGCCACAATACAGCATTGAACGGTTGACTTCACAGGCAGACAGAAAGCAGTTGTACAATGAGGTGCCGGCCAGCGTGATGAATACAGTATTAATTAGATTCCTTTAATATACAGTAATGCCTAGTTTGTTTCAGCTTTATAATGAGGATTATTTCGAAAAAAGAAGGCATTGTCTACATTGTTATTCTGATAACATGTAGGCTACGAAACTTAATATCATCCTGACGATTTTGTTTACTTTGACATAAGTGACAGTTTATTTAGGAGCGTTTGATGGGCAATTATTGTAAATATTAATTTTAATGCGAAATTCTGTGTATCTTTTTTGAATGTAATAATTTTATATAATTCTTTTTATTCAATGTGTATTACTAAATATTTTTTCTGCTAAATTAATAAAAACCTAATATTAACAATCGATAAGCAATATAAATAATACTTTGTAAATGTAAGTATTTTTTATTCTGCCATCTTGATTACTGATCAAGTTCCCAGTCCGCATATCTAAGCACTTTTGTATCCATTGGCAAAAAAGTGCTATATAAATTTCTATATTTAAGTTTAGATCGTTCAATGATGATGAAACAATAATTAATTGAATTATTTTATAAAAGGGGTGCTCTAAATATGTTTTTAATGCCTTTAAAATTCATGAGAATTTGAGAATAACATTTCAGTGGCATTATATGACCATAACGACGATAAAATAACGATGATGATGATCGTGATTAGAAGATAATTGAAACAGGTTAGTGTGACATCTGATTAGAAGCATAACGGTAAAACATGTCATTAAATATAGATAAATTTCAATTTACCTCCAAATTTACCTTACATATACAAGCCGAAGCCCACCCTCATACAAACGCCTCCCTCGAAAAAACGCCTAGGCACATTTAATTTCAGTCTCCTTTAATGACTGTGAACAAAACTAATGGAAGTTACATCATTCTCAACACATTCCGTTATTAATCTACTTCATTAGAATTAATTTTTTTTCTAGTAATTATGTGTTGCAGTGTCACATTAACAGTGAAATTAGGAGGCGTATATTTATGTATAACATATGTAGGCCTATGTCGTATCGTATCCATTTTAAACCAAAGCAATAAATAAACGCCTCGAATAAAAGAGTCCCTTAAATAAATGCCAAGTCAAAACCCCTTCTCAATAATCCTCGAATAAAAACACGGTTAGAAGACTCCATAAAAAGTGAGAGAATAAAAATAAATGCAGGTACAGTAAATAGAAGTTGATTTCGCCCTGCTATCGTGTTTACGTTAAAAAAAAAAAAAAAAAAAAAAAAAAAAAAAAAAAAAAACCTCCCGACTACACTTACAGGCACATGGCTCATCAGTCGCGGAACCAGAAGGGAGCACGGGAGGACGTTCCCCGCCACCAGTTTTACCACTAAATATTAAAAAATCTATGCACAATAATGTTTTATATTGAAATAAACGCTCTATTCTCAAAATGTTGTGCACCCCCCACCCGCCCCCGTTAAAAAAATTCTTGATCCGCCTTTTCTCAGGCATATTTGGTATAGTGGTACTTTAAGAGCCTGACAATATATAATAAAGCAAACAGCCTGTCACTCTTCCCGAAGGAGTGGAGGAGGAGCAGCCTTGTCTGCCTTCCTTCAGCCACCCTCACTGGCACCACCACTGATATGTGTAATGTGTGCAAAAAACCTCTTTGAGGCCGTTTTTTAGTAAGAAGTAGGCCTACCATCTAAAATCTCCAATCAATCTTTTAACAAAGTAATCCTGTAATAGAGAGACTACTTGAAGGTGGTTAACAATGCATGGTCTCGATTCGAGGGCGACTCTAATCTAAAAAATAAAAGGAATATGAAATCTGTATTTCATACCATACTTGAATTCAAAGTCGGTCCCTAAATAATACGGTACACATAAACATTGAACTTTCTTTTCAATAAACTAATCTATTATCCATATCACAAAAGCATATCCGTCGATGATGTGGCGAATACAAACATGAAAAATGGCGACCGAAACCGACGTTGAAATTTATTATTTCTGTAACTAAAAAACATAAATTATATATTGTTCAATAAGCTATATCAGTTGCCAAAAACAAAAATCAAGATAATTCAAGTTTTTATTTATTTACAAACTTCTACTAGGCTATAGAATGTAAGAAATCCTTAAACTAATTACTAGTACTAGTAGACCGAGTGCTGCTGCCATAATAGAGGCCTAACATACAGCTATCACTATGCCCACAAACT